CCCCCGATATTTTTTTCTTTTCTTTAATCCATTCATTCAGTGAGACTTTCAGAGTCCAGAAGAAAATGGTTATAAAGTAACCTGCAGCAAGATGTTGTTGCTTATAAAGAATTGTTCTCCCGGGGTGCCTGGGTGGCTCAGTTGGTTGAGCATCCAACTTCAAATCAGGTCACAATCTCACAGTTTGTGAGTTTGAGCCCCGCATCAGGCTCTGTGCTGACAGCTCAGAACCTGGGGTCTGCTTCAGATTCTGTGTGTCCCTCTCTCTCTGCCCCTCCCCTGTTCATGCTCTGTCTCTCTCTCTCTCTCTCTCAAAAGTAAATAAACATGTAAAAATTTTAAAAAAAGAATTCTTATCATCAACTCAAATTCTTTACAGGGAGGCTGACCTACATAGTTATTTTAAGATCTGTACCCTACCTATAATACTCTCGAGAACTTATGGATACCTAAGTGTTACCCAAGAAAGGAGGTCCAGAGAAAGATACACGCTCCCTTTCAAGGTCCAGTTTCAGTCGGTAAGCCTGTGTCTTCCCCTAAATAACTGACAGTAAGGATGCCCAACTGTGTTAGGGAAAACCTACCCCAGGGCACAACTGTATCTGAATCTGAAGCCTCACCATATCAGAATTCTAAACTAATATCCGTACCCACACACAGAAACTGAAGGCCAAGTTATTATGTAGAAAATGGCAGATGTCATATTGAGACCATTTATCCCAACTAATCATTAATAAGGGCTGTTTCTATAGTGTATATGGCATAGAATTTGCTATAATTTTGTTCTATAGAATGATTTGCCAACTGTATTCCTAATATGTTTGCAAAATTAAACACACAGGCCTGGAAAACATGGCATTTTCTCCAGTGCCTCTGCCTAATATACGAGCATCTCAACATTGAGTTTTCAACCACAAAAGTATGTTTTTATAAATTAAACTAATGGTAAATTAAAGAGGAGGGAGAATAAAAGTAATGCCAACTCAGTGCTGAGTAAATTAAAGCTTTCAGTTCAATCATATAGCCTTAATTAGGTTTCTCTTAAGGCGCCGCACATCTACCTAAATTCACACATATAAAGATGAAAAGCAAAACAATAACAAATTATGCCTCGGTTTGTTTTTTTTTAAGCAGCAACTTAAACGAACTGCAGTATTTGTAGCCTGACAAATATAGTGGGAGATTTTTCTTATTGTCAGTGGCCGTAGAACGCAGTAGTCCTTCAGAAAATATTCCTAAAATATTCACTTGAGAATCTCTCTGCTAAGAATTCTGAGGAAAAACAGGGAAGTGGGAGAAAGGCAAAGAAAGAAGAGGTAAAGATACTTTCTTCACACTCCCACAGCAAATGGTACTAAGGAAGGCATGGGAGAGGTAGAGAGAGCCCCAGTGACCCACTGGCCTTCCACAAAGATCTCTCGTGGCCAGGCAAGTAAGAGAGGCTCATCTCAATGCTCGAGGTCACTGACAACTTGGAAACTGAGACACACGTGACCTGTGCCTCCTACAGCACTTAGCACTTCCCTCTGCAATAAGATTACTTAATCCGATATGACAGATATCAAGTAGCATCTATCATTTGCCGGGCAATAGGATTGTTAGATACATAGAGGAAAAATGTTTGACCCTCAAGGAGCCTTGAACTGCGTGGAGACATCCCAGCCAATCCAATCAGTACATTGTGAAAGTGGACGTAATCATAATGGCGGTATGCCAAGGCTCAATGGAATTATAAGAGATTGCCTAAGAGAGGTGGGGAACAAGAGGTCAGTGACAGGGAAGACTTCTCATATTTATGATTTTTGAGCTGACTCTTGAAGGAGAAATAGGAGTTTGGTAGGCAGAAAAGGGTAGAAGACATTCTAGGTAGAAAAATAACACGTAAAAGCAAGATATATAAAATAGTATGGCCTTGCCACCTTGCCTCATGATTCAATCAGAAAATAGCACAGGGGCGCCCGGATAGCTCAGTCAGTTAAGCATCCGATTCTTGATTTCGGCTCAGGTCATGATATCACGGTTCATGGGATCCAGCCCCGCGTAGGGCTCTATGCTGACAGTGCAGAGCCTACTTGGGATTCTCTTTCTCTCTCTCTGCCCCTCCTCTGCCCACACACACATGCGCACACACACTCCCTCTCTATCAAAATAAATTAATAAACTTAAAAAAAGAAAGAAAGAAAACAGATAGGAACAGCACACTTGAGGGTTAACTGAAAGTTTAACCAAGTGACTATTTCTGGAGATACGTATGGGCAAGGTCACCAAAAAAGGATGGTGAGGTGTTCAGAGTTACCCACAGCGAGGGGCGCCTGGGTGGCTCAGCTGGTTGAGCGTCCAGCTTCGGCTCAGGTCATGATCTCATGGTTCGTGAGTTCGAGCCCTGTGTGAAGCCTGCTTCGGATTCTGTGTCCCCCTCTCTCTGCTCCTCCCCCACTCATGCTCTGTCTCTCTCTCTCCTTCAAAAATAAATTAAAACATTTTTGAGGAGCGCCTGGGTGGCTCAGTCTGTTAAGCGTCCGACTTCAGCTCAGGTCATGATCTTGTGGTCTGTGGGTTCGAGCCCCACGTCGGGCTCTGTGCTGACAGCTCAGAGTCTGGAGCCTGTTTCGGATTCTGTGTCTCTCTCTTCCTCTGACCCTCCCCTGTTCATGCTCTCTCTCTCTCTGTCTCAAAAATAAAAAAATGTTAGCCACAGTGAGAAGCCATTCACCGGCCAAAAGAGACAGGAAAGAGAATGGAATTACCTGAACCCAGCAGAACCCATGAGAAAGGCACTACCCAACGGGAACCTTGACCAGAAATAGGAACAAGCTACTGCCAAGCCAGGGTCTAGGGGAGACAAAGAGAAGGGTAGATACCCTGACCTCCTTCCTCTGGTCACCAGCTGATGCCTCCATTGGCTAAGCCCCACAGCAAGCCCAAGGACAAGGAAGTGTGGAAAAGCTTTCCGTAGATGACACCTTCCCAAGGCCCAGACAAGAGCAGACACTAGATTTAGGGGCCAAATGGAATGCCTAGCACAGATTCATAACCCGTGTGCAAGCAACTTCCTGTTTCTTGAATAGGTATCGCACAGGACCATTCCTGTAACGCACGTTATATCAGGCTTGGCTTTGTTTCTTCTTCCCCAACTGATGGAGAGAGGGGCTCCTTGAATTAAATGACAGGGACAGAGAAATTCTTAAGATCTGGTTTGTTGGGTAAACTCTGCCCTTCACCAAATCTTCCTATCGTCATATTTTTAATCACAGTAATGTAATAATCTATCAGATACTTTTTTGTTGTTGTTGTTGTTATGTTTATTTTGAGAGAGAGAGAGAGAGAGAGAGAGAGAGACAGGACACACGTGGGGGAGGAGCAGAGAGAGAAGGAGACACAGAATCTGAAGCAGGCTCCAGGCTCTGAGCTGTCAGCACAGAGCCCCACACGGGGCTCGAACTCACAAACTGTGAGATCATGACCTGAGCCCAAGTTGGACGCTCAACCGGCTGCGTCACCCAGGCGCCCCTCTATCAGATACTTTAAAATAAAAACACATAGTCTTCAGTGTGAGATAACATACCATGTAAGTGCTTATTTATCTATCTGAAAATAACTACACTTTAATGTTCTGTCAGTGGATGAAACCCGCTCTCCTCTTAGTCTCAGAATATTTTTGTTCCTTAAGACACTTCCTATTTGGCTGGGGCTCCTGGGTGGCTCAGTTGGTTAAGCGTCTGACTTCAGCTCAGGTCATGATCTCACTATTCGTGAGTTCGAGTCCCGCATCAGGTTCTGTGCTGACAGCTCAGAGCCTGGAACCTGCTTCGGATTCTGTGTCTCCCTCTCTCTGTCCCTCCCCTGCTTGTGCTGTGTCTCTGCCTCTCAAAAATAAATAAATATTAAAAAAAAAAAAAAGACACTTTCTAAATGGCTTATAAATTCTAGTGAAGTCACATTACGTCACCTTCAGATTTTATTACGGTGGGAGCAGAACAACTTATTCTTTCACAACCTGTTTTTCTATTTATTTTTCAGATCAATAACTCGATCTTATTACCGCAACTCAGTTGGCGGATTTTTAGTATTTGACATTACCAACCGACGATCTTTTGAACACGTGAAAGATTGGCTGGAAGAAGCAAAAATGCACGTACAGCCATTTCGGATTGTATTTCTGCTGGTGGGACATAAATGTGACCTGGCTTCGCGACGTCAGGTTACAAGGGAAGAAGCTGAAAAGCTGTCAGCAGACTGTGGCATGAAGTATATAGAAACCTCAGCAAAGGATGCCACAAATGTGGAGGAATCCTTTACAATCCTGACCAGAGACATATATGAACTTATCAAAAGGGGAGAGATTTGTATTCAAGATGGCTGGGAAGGGGTTAAAAGCGGCTTTGTTCCAAATACGGTGCATTCTTCTGAGGAAGCGGTAAAACCCAGGAAAGAATGCTTCTGCTGACTTCCCACAGGCCAGAGGACTCCCGTGAACAGACTGGGTGTCATCCCAGGATCAATACCAACGTTAACTTCAGCAGGAGACGCAATGGCAGCATTTAGGACACAGTTATAAATCGATGCTAATGCTATTTTGTAAGGTATTTAATTCAGAGCGCTATGCTTGCTGGTGACGCTACCAGATTGGGGGTTGTGCTAAATTATCAGGCAAAGCAGACAACCTTTTCTTGAAACTGGAGTGTCTCCGGAATGATCCCCGTTCTCCCTTTGTTAGCACATAGCTAACCTTAATGTTCGCATATACCAATATTACTCATTTTTCTTGACAGTTTGAAATGGGTTTTTTGTGCATATATAATCTGATCGAAAAGATTCTATCAGGAATTACATTCTCCTGAGCTCATCTGTTAATGCTGAACAGCAAAGTGGATTTAAAAGTGCAGTGTTTGCTTACAAAGGAAACGATCTCAGAGGTATCATCAACTAGGACGAAAATAATAATTCCATATTTAATGTGCCAGATTTTAAACCATTCTTTGAAATATTTATCCTCCCTTAATTTACCTGAACGTAAGAAAATAAGTTTTATCCTCATTTTTGTTCTCTGATTTCTTGCTCTTGATAGATTTATGTTTTGTAAAGATATCTAAGGATCCAAGCAAAATATTTTATCGCAAATATTTGTAAAAATAAAAATGAAGGACCATTCATCAGCAAGTGTTTTGATGTTATAGTATATTGTCCTTATTTAGACAAGAAAAGTTCATTTATATACCGACATTTTCAAAGAAAGTAAATGCAATTTACCTTGAACTGTTGTCAAAATTATCAGTATAGGTAAATACGGAATGTTTTTAGTGATCGCTTTTTTGTCCAATTAAGTTTCTGAATTTCCCGGTTCTGGGACAAGAAAAGTATAGGAAAGAAAGATTTTTCTGGGCAAGGAAGATTGGTTAGATGTTTGATATATTTAGCATTCAAATTGCGTTTCAGCAAAATTAAAGATAGAATACTGAGTTAAGGCTATAAAATGACTTTTGAGTTTTCTAATTTTTAACTTATTGATTAAATTCTCCTCCTGGAAGGGACATTTTGATAACAATAGTTTTCAGCATACATTTCTGTTCTGTTCTGTGAAGCATTCCCAATCACAAAGGGGCACCAAATGCAGCCACCTTTTTGGAATTATGAGGTTTACTGTCAACCTGCAGTATCTTCATTTGTTTGAAAACCAAAGTGATATGGTGGTAAGAATATTTAACGAGAAATCAGAATACCTGGGTTTTAAGCTCGCCTTTGCTGTACCGGTATCTGAACACGAGTGAGTCACTTAACCTTGCTAAGCATCCATTGTCTTAACTGTAAGATGAGAATAATAACCCCGTTTATTGTGTTTCGTGGACTAATTTTGAGAATCAAGCGAATCATGTGACAAAGCTTTGTAAACAGAGAAAGCATTATGCAAATACATAATGAGCTTGGTCTCAGCTGCTCACGGGCATACTATTATATTTACAATGGATGAGAATGTTGTTTTCTCATATTCTTTCCCATTTCCACATTCTGCAGAGGGAGCAGAGGAAGGTGCAGGCTTTCCTGGACCTGAGGGATCTCTTGGTTTCATGTGTGCCCTGTGCCCTCGTGCCCCGAAACACTGCTCCTCCCAAGTGGAAATGATTGGGAGGGAAATCCCAGGAGACATAACTCCATCCGGAATCATGTGTGAATGTGGTTTTGTGCATCTTTGAAGTAGATATTTGATTATATTTTAAATAATTGTACATTTTCTAGCTTCATGGAAGTATTTTTAATCGTGCTTATGGAGAGAAGAATGTAAATTATAACATCACTGTAAGATTTTGAATAGTTGTATCGTCAACATTTTCTTGATCTCCTTGCATTCGTTTCACTTGAGTGAGTTCAAACTGTAATTGATCAGGTAAGAATACCTGCCCCCGCCAAATGTGAAACAATTTATTTTTACTGCTACCATTTTAAATCTTACAGTACAGTTTTGCACCAGTCCAAAATGGCACCAACTCAAAAACTGGGTATCTAACAACAGTTTAAGGTTTAAACAGGCACCTGTGCCTACTCGCGAAGTTAAACAACTAAAATATAAAATATGATTTAACTTCTGGACACCCTTTATAATACTAATGGTGGGGTAAAACTAACATTCAGGCTGAAGGGTTCTGATGTTTTTCAAGACTTAGAATAGAACTAAGGAGGCAGAAGAAACAAACGGAAATGCAGGGCCCCCAAAGTTGATACTTAACCAAGGTCACACATGAGCAGAAGCAAGCCTAGATCTCTAGTTCTCCTTATACCTTAGTTGGGGTTCTTTTCATTACCATGCTGTGTCAGGTGTGTGTGTGTGTGTGTGTGTGTGTGTGTGCTGAAGAAAAGGGAAAATGTGATCTAACTGAATCCACAAAATTCTAAAATTGGCCCTATAATTTTGAGGTTATGGAAGAGTGGTTTGTGGTACAACAATATTAAAATGAACAATAACTACAAAGATCTGAGTTCTTATGCAAGGTTGCCAAATTTCTGTATAACCTTAGCCAGATATCTTTATCCATATAGATATATCTATATAAAATAACTGACCTATTTTCTTACACATCATTATGGAGAATGTGGATAGTGACACCGAAATAGTAAAAATGTTTGCTCCAGGCAAAACATTTTGACTAAGTGTCCTGGAAGTCAGGTATACTTGAATCAGATATCATTGATATTATTTCATTTCAATTATTCAATTTAAATTTAAACCTATTTAAATTTAAAATTTAAAACTAACGGATGATGTAGCTAATTACTAAGTATTTTTAATAAACATGATAAAAAGGAAATGAAAAACTATCTAATCATATGATACCCTTTCCCTGAGAAATGCTTCTCATCTTGAACTGTATTAACACTTCGCATACAGTAATGTGATGTTCATTAAATGGTAAGCTGAAGCCAAAATGATTTTGTAAACAGAATGCTTTTAAATGTGGCCTTTATGTACATAATAGTAGCAAACAAGATTTCTTGGAGAGTTTACACTAGATTTCCAAAAGCCTCAAAATACTCCATGATTGTTTCCAGGGGCGACCAAAGCAGCCTTTATTACCGTTAAGAGGACTTTCCCAATCTATTAATCCAACTTTATAGTATTCAAAAACTGAATCTATGGATTAATAAAATCCTTTTAAGAGTACTTTTGATTCTATATTGCCTTTGGTTCAATCAAGTACAAAGCCTCGCAGACTTGAAAGAGTGCACTATATTTGAATAATTTCCTTAGGTCTGACCGAGTGACAAGGATGTGAAAGACTAAAGACCCATTTCATAAGCTGATTCATTTGTTCCCCAGTAACTGCCTGCAAAGATTTAGTTGGAAATGCAAAGGAAGCATGTAATCTTTAAGAAAAAAAAAGAAGAAAGACTATAAAGGCTTTAAAGTTAGGTCCTTTGTGTTTTAAAATAGAGTATGTTCCCAACAAGATGCTTAACTCTTGGAAATTTCACAGCTGGTAAAAAGTTGTCTCTGCTTCCGAATCCAGATCTTTCTAAATCCCCGTGTCTTCACTAAACCTTCCTGAGCGACCAATCTTCACCTGTTACCAAAATAACTAGCAAACCATTCTCCCGAATTTGGGTGAACGACTACATGACTTGGTGTTTCTATAATCCTAGAATGACGGTAGACACACGAGTGCTGAACTGTAACAATCTGTGTCAATCATTACAGACTCTGGTTCGCTTATTACACGTAATCATGTTGGAGAGTAAATGAAGAGAAAAGAAGCAATTTTAAGATTATTTTCAAAGTTAATGTTCCTCATTGTTATCTCTCTGGGTAAATTTTTTTTGTCTTTTTTTTAAATGGTGCCTAAAACATTGTCTCGTTGATGTGAACTTTGGTGACTAGCAATCAGTGGTTATTATGTTGAATTAATCCTATTGAATGTGGATCTCATATACGTGGTTTTAATTTACACATTCCACGGAGAAACTTGTTTTGCTATAATCATCTCTTGCCATTTTTTTTTCTTAGAATGAAAACCAATGGGAGAAAGATATGGTTTACATTTTTTGAAGTATGTTATGAGTGTTACTTGATTTTAAATAATGAATAAAAAGAATGAGAACTATGGTTGTCACAAGGTTGTTACATTATCCGTCTTTGGGGAACCATCTTTCGTGGTGCTTTCAAAACAGAAACAACCACTTAACTCCAATGACATGCATCTGTGTGTGTGTGTGTGTGTGTGTGTGTGTGTGTGTGTGTTTACAAATGAAGTGCAAAGAAGAACCAAGAGATCTGAAATCCTATTTATATTACGTAATCCTGGTGAAGTGTGAGGCAGAACTCCATGATCAAACAGGTATATATGTGAAGCAAAATGTGTAAATATTTACACTAAAAGAATGTCTGTAGATAACCTGTCACCAATTAAGGTCAGATTGTTTGCTGCCAAGTGAGTTATCAAAAGAATTGTAGACTCCCAGATGGGGCGCCTGGGTGGCTGAGTTGCTTGGGAGTCCGACTTCAGCTAGGGTCATGATCTATCAGTTTGAGGGTTCGAGCCCCGCGTCGGGCTCTGTGCTGACAGCTCGGAGCCTGGAGCCTGCTTCGAGTTCTGTTTCTCCCTCTCTCTCTGCCCCTCCCTCTCTCACACTCTGTCTCTCTCTCTGTGTCAGAAATAAAATAAAGCATTAAAAAATTTAAAAAAAAAAGAATTGTAGACTCTCAGTGCTTTTTGGGTTTCCAAATTACTTAAAAGGATGATAGTCTTTTTAAAAAAAAAATTTTTTTTTTAACGTTTATTTATTTTTGAGACAGAGACAGAGCATGAACAGGGGAGGGGCAGAGAGAGAGGGAGACACAGAATCTGAAGCAGGCTCCAGGCTCTGAGCTGTCAGCACAGAGCCCGACGCAGGGCTCAAACTCACGGACCACGAGATCGTGACCTAAGCCGAAGTCGGCCGCCTAACCGACTGAGCCACCCAGGCGCCCCTGGATGATAGTCTTTTATTATGCCTTGAGAGATAACTCAGAATTTGTGACTTTTTTCTAGTAAGATCATCTTTGTCATGCTTCAGCCTTGCACACAGCAAGAGCTTATTAAATTTTAAATTGAGCTGTTCAATCTCACAAAAAAATTTTAGAACTTCTGCATATATAACCAGTTATACATGTAAAATATTTAAAACAGTGCTTTGCACATAGTAAGCACTTGAGAAATGTCATCTTTCTGTTGTTGTTGTTGTTTTTTAAAGAGAGAGAGCAAGAGCAGGGTAGAGGGGCAGAGAATCCTAAGCAGACTCCATGCTCAGCCCAGAGCCTGATGCGAGGCTTGATCCCACAACCCTGGGATCATGACCTGAGCTGAAGTCCGGAGTCAGAGGCTCAACCGACTGAGCCACCCAGGTGCCCCTTTAGTATTACTCTTATAACCACCGAAACGCCAAGAAGCCAGTTTTAAATTTTTTTTTTCAACGTTTATTTATTTTTGGGACAGAGAGAGACAGAGCATGAACGGGCGAGGGGCAGAGAGAGAGGGAGACACAGAATCGGAAACAGGCTCCAGGCTCTGAGCCATCAGCCCAGAG